ATTGACCCCAAATTCACGGAGATGAAAGATGACCTGAAGGGTAACACTTTCCAATAATATTATTGGTTAAGTCTGTGTGGTGTCTGAATAACAGGGTAAAAAAAAATTTTTTCATAAAAATTTTTATTTTTTTGAAAATTTTGGCCCGTTTGATCTTGAAGTAAAGGTCAAAGGTCAAATCCAAGGGCATATTTGAAATCTACACATATGACTTTTGGAAAGCCGTCTGTAGAAATTTTTCCCATAACCCCTTCCGTAGGGTAGATAATTAGCATTTAATTTTGCCATTTTTGGACAAGGGTGCATTGCAATGAGTGCCACACCCAGACCCCAATACCGGCAAAGCCCAAATTTTACGTGGAACGAGCTGAAATAATAGGTGACCTAAATCCAAGAGATGGGTACGGGGGCCCTTACCGTCTAGGAGGAGAAGCGGTAACGGTAGCCGTCCAGCGGAGCCGGCGGAACGATCCGGACGGGACCGAAACCATGTGTACTGCCAGCGCTAACGCTGGTGGTACAATTAATCAGTTTATTTCTAAATTTGGTGCAAGTTCGAAATTTGCAAAACAGTAAATTTTTGTTGTGTAACCAAACAAATATATTCAGAGAAAGATATAGATTTTGTTGGGTTTTAATTTTATTCTTCAGTTGCCTAACTATCATATCACATCAACCTTTAAATTCATTAAACACAAGTAAGATCTCAAAAAAAAAAAACAAACAAACTATTATTGTGTTTAGTTTTTCACACTTCCAAGTACTTTCTTTCCCACAAAATTTCTCAATATTGGTCAGATGCACTGGAATAGAGAGACAAAGGCTACCATAGTATTGTGAACAGTTTTCACAACATACCATACTTATTTTAACTACAACAGAGAATCCACTATGTCCTTCAGATACTTTGAAACTTCAAGAACAATCAGGTCTATTATCTTGCGTCCTTGTTGGTTTATTTATCCTGGAGAGTAAATGTACAATAGGCTGTGTCCATTAGGCTACCTGAACAGAGCCTTTCTGTGCCATGTCTTTTAGGTCTTGTATACACTTGGTTATGCTGTCTTTTTGCTGAAAAGAAAAGTGATGTACTGTATCATTATTTAGCAAATCAAAGAATTTCTACTGGATATCTTTACAAACATGGGCAATTATGAACACAAGGCATACTCACGTAAAAACTATCTGGCAGAAATTGGTACAATTTTTGGAAATGCAATGCAACTTGTTGATAAGCAAAACAAAATATTGCTACTATCCTCTATATGAGAATTAATGCAACATTGCAATTACTGGATAACTTAATCAACATGCAACTCAAATTGAAAAAGCAGGTTTTCACAAAGGAAGAGGATGTGGGGACCACATTGCAAATTTATGGTTGTTCATAGAAAACACAAAAGAAAGGAAAAATGAGATTTATCTCTGCTTCATCAATTACTCTAAAGTATTAAACGAATGACACGCCTCCTCGAGCAGCTAGAAGGTAATTAGCCTAGCTGCTCTAGGAGGCATGTCAGACATCTTTAATTAACCTACACAGCAAACAGATCCCCAGAAATGCTCTGGTAAACAAAGACATTGGCACCAAAATAACTGGCAGAAGCCACAATGGTCTCGGATACCCAGAACCCCAAGTGGGGAAGCCAATTTTGAAATTGATGGAGAGAAAGTGGCTGAAAGATCCTCTTTTATGTAGACAACCATACTCAGAAATGGAAGCTGCAGACCAGAGATATTAAAATGTATACAACTACGGCAAAAAGTCATGTCTGACATGACTAGAATTTGGAAGGATCATTAATAGGTATCAGGAAAGACAAAAGAATGCCTAGTGAGAAGAATAGTATTCTCAATAGTCCTGTATGGCGTGGAAACCGACCACCACCTCCCTTGGAAGTAATATTCCAGCTTTTGAAATGTGGTGTTGGAACAGGATGTGGGGAATTTCATGGATGAAAACAGTAAGCAATGCTGTCAGAGCTAACGGATGATGGGTTCTGACTCGAGGGAAATTGAGGCCCAAGACCTGGTGGCTAGATAAATTGGAGGTAGAGACTGGTGGTTTGCAGAAAGCAAGACAGCTCTGTTGGAACTGTAGTCAGGAGTTTTCTCACCTGTTGCGGTGTTATTCCCTTCCTTACACTTTCAAGGATCCAGTTAATCATATGTTGTCTTTCAAAATTCTGTCTTTCTCGCTGGATGTCTAGTTGATAATCCTGTATATAAAAAAATGAAAATAAAAAAAAAGAGTACACACAAATCAAATCTTAAGTTTTAACAATGTTTAAATACATGGCAATGGCATTAGCAGACGTGCTGCTTTTGTGAATGTGGTTGGCAGTACTGCTGAGGATTCTCGGACAATTCCCCCCATCTATCCTCGAATTGTCCTGAGGCCATTTAACCTATATGAATAAGACCAAGTAGGCAGTGGACATAAATGAAAATGCTGCATGGAGTATATTGTGTGAATTATCTACTTGAATTTGAGGTTTTGATAATTTTGGGGAAAAGAATTACCTGGTAGTCATTTTATATTTCTCACAATTCAAAAACAAGCATCAGTGAACCCATTCTACATTATTATCATCCCAATGTTATATTCTTTCCTTGTTTGGAAGCTTTGACATACATTTGTTGGGGATGAAGAAAAAGAAATTACCGTAAGGCCGGTGCTGATGTCAAACTAATTGGATACAGACCGTTTAACACCTGCAGCCACCTCACAGGAATTTCTGTCATCTGTGTAGAGATTTATTTCAACACCAAGAAAACTGATGCTAGTAAGCAACTCGTATTAAAAAAAAAAGTTTTAAATGAAGAAGTATGAGAACTTTTTGATAAAATATTTCATATCCATAGATAAAAATTAAACAAGTTATGTCTGTTATCCCATATGACACATGTTGATATATTTATCTAATAGACGTAAAATGAACTAGAGAATCAGAGGCGATACCGCCTCCGAATATTGTACCACCAGCTGGAGTAAGCGCATTCGTATAGACCCCCACATACACAATATAAGGGACACAGCCACCAGTCTTGTGCTAAACAAGCTGTAAAAATGCAATCAACAAGAATTTTCAAAAAATGCAAAAAATATAACTAAAAATGGTACAATCAAAGTTTAGTTCATCGTAAGGTAGGTCAAAGGTCAATTTCAAGGTCACAGTAAATTGCCAGTATGTGACTTCCTATTCAACTTCAATAGTAATTATGGACCTATCTCTGCCAGGTTTGGAGTTAAAAGAGAAAGAAATAAGCAGAGTTCAGTTCATGATAATAAGTAGGTCAAAGGT